GCACACTGGCCAAAGTGATCCCTGAGTAGCGCAACTTAGCTCTTCCATAGGCCTGTCGGTTGTTAGGTTTTTTGAACTTCGGATTTCAGTACGCCCGGTCGCCCAACTTAGCCCTTCTATAGCACAATCATGAAGTGGTCTCTGAGTAGCCCAACTTAGCTTTTCCACAGCACACTCACCAAAGTGGTCCCTGAGTAGCTTAGCCCTTCCACAGCACACTCACCAAAGTAGTCCGCGAGTAGCCCAACTTAGATCTTCCACAGCACGTTGACCTAAGTAATCCTTGAGAAGCCCAAAGTAGCTTTTCCACAGCACGTTCACCAAAGGATCCCTGACTAGCCCAACTTAGCTCTTCCACACCACACTCGCCAAAGTAATCCCTGAGTAGCCCAACTTAGATCTTCCACAGCACGTTGACCAAAGTAATCCTTGAGAAGCCCAAAGTAGCTTTTTCAGAGCACGTTCACCAAAGGAATCCCTGACTAGCCCAACTTAGCTCTTCCACACCACACTCGCCAAAGTAATCCCTGAGTAGCCCAAAGCAGTTCTTCCATAGCACACTCACCAAAGTGGTCCCTGAGTAGTTCAACGCAGCACTTCCACAGCGTGTTCACCAAAGAGATCCCGGAGTAGCCCAAAGTAGCTCTTCCACAGCACGTTCCCCAGAGTGATCCCTGAGTATTCAAGCTAGCTTTTCCACAGCACGTTCACCAAGGTGATCTCTGAGTAGCCCAAAGTGGCTCTTTCACAGCACGCTCGCCAAACTGATCCCTGTTCACCAAAGTAATCCCTGAGTAATTCAACGTAGCACTTCCACAGCACATTCACCAAAATGACCTCTGAGTATTCACACCACATTCACCAAACTGATCACTGAGTAGCTAAACCTAGCTGCCTAGCTCTTCCACAGCACATTCACAAACTGATTTCTAAGTAGTTCAACTTAGCTTGTCCACAGCAACCACAGTTTTTAGTAGCGCAACTTAGCTTCTCCACAGCACATTTACCAAAGAGATCGCAGGATAGTTGTAGACTTGTAATGTACTTATCAAAGCAGTTGTTTCCCCACCCGTAGGACTGTGGGGCTGTTACATTTTAAGAACTTTAGACTTCAGTAGACTCGCTACTTCTGCACATCCACCAGAGTGGTCCCAGCGTAGCTCAGAGCAACCCAAAGAACACAGCGCATCCACCAGAGTGGCCCACAGTGGCCCAGAGTAGCCCTTACACAGCACATCCACCAGAGTGGCCCCGAGTAGCCCAGCGTAGCCTTTACACCAGCACATAAGTACCAGTTCCACAGCATATCCACCACAAGTTGACTTGGCAGGGATGCGGGGTTGCCAGGCATTAAAATATAGAAGTTCAGAAACCTCACAAGTAAGTACTCGATGTGTGGTTTTGTTTTCAATAAAGAATCCTTTTCGCGCCGAACCGCTTTTCTCTTGTGAAGACCAATTCTTTGAGGGTGGGGAATTTCGAAGTAAAGTAATTCATTCTTTTTTTCCGTGCTTCATTCGGTGTCAATCCCGTTGCGCTATGAACATCTCTTTTATTGTAGGTAAGCATTATGTCTAATACATAATCAGTCCATTGTATATTCTGCTTTCCCTTCTTCTCATCATGCTCAACTCTTTTGAACAGTTTATCCTTAAATGTCCAAATTAAATAGACGCACCGCAAAAGCAGGGTGTCCTTTTGTTCTGTATAGTTCTATTCCTTCATCTTCAACAAATGTTTTAAAGTCATTTCCGCTTAACTTATGTTGTAACTTATGTTGGTTTTCTCACCATCTTTTGTAAGGGCTCTTTACTCTTGATCGGAACTACTACTACATACTTGCTCAAAACATCTATAACTACCAATCCAGCTCTGAACTTTTGTTTTGCTTCTATATATCTTTGGACATGAAACATATATCTAACTGATAAGTATGCGGTGCAACAAAACTGTTATATCCCCTCGGTTTCACAAAAGATGCTTGGGATAATTCATACAGTTTCACACGTACAGCATAGACTTGAAGACCACTCACTACCTCACGGATCAACACGATCCCTTTGGCTCAAGTGCTAAAAGGTGCTGACGCCACCAAAGCGTCGTCATCAGCCGTAGGGCTCTACGGTTGTCTTTGTCTTGCCTACGCCATTGGAGCTTTCTCTCGAATCGTTTCGTCTTCATCCTCCAGCTGCTTCATCTTCACCTCGTTGAATCTTGGCTCTGTGGGCGCCAAATGGGGAACGCGGTGGGAAGAAGACTAAGAGAAGTAAGGGACTAGCAAAGGAAGTGGCGGAAGGGTTTACACGTCCCCAAGGCAAAGCCCACAGGGGCGCCCGGAACAGAAAGGGTGAGGGCGGCTGCGCGGGAAGTGGCAAGTGAAGTGCTCCAATCATCAAAGCCCGAAGGGTTGTTCCTGGAGATCCACCTTTTCCACGCGATTTATACCTGTTCCAAAAGGACCTCCAGTTGTGGTAAGTACCTCTGCTGTGTCGGTGGTTTCTGTTGGGTCCGGGGACACGTCGTTGACTGCTGCTCACGTTGAGTCCACGGGTGTGTCATCGTCTCAAACTTCCTACAGAAACTTTGAGCCCATTCGAGAATTTGGAGAAATCAAGTCGAGGAAGCTCGGGTTTTGAGCAAGAGGCCATTTCAAGAAAGACTAGGGTCAACTAACCCAGATCGGACCCGGCGAACCCTTACATCCCTTCAGCTTCAAATCAGAGCATTGTTTTGAAGCCGGGAGGGGGTCAACCAATTCCTGTACCTAAGAGTTTCCATTTGCCAGAAGATCCTTTGTTGAAGATTCGCCTTTCATTTGATTTGGATGACGCTTCAAAGGGTCGGTTTGAAACTGTAGCACGTGCGTCATTGGCCAGGCAGGGGTGTGTTCCTATATTAGATTAGGTGGTGGTATAAGAGTCAAAACCGTCTCCAGGACGCGTGGTCGGAAGTGGTTCGGTTCAATTCGGATTATCGCACCGTTTTAAAGCTTCCTATCACCTCGGATTGTATCGCGCAAGGAGTATCGCCGGAGTCTTCTTCAGTTCACATTCACGGTCGTCTTGATTTGGCCTAGGGCCTACGCCCTGAAGGAAAGAGGTCTTCCCGTGATCCTTGCGGCGCCCAGGACTTTTGAGGAGAAGGAACGCTGTCGAGGATTTCAAGGTGGTAAGTAATTGGG